AAAAGCCATATTAAATACAGTAAATGGAACAGCAGTCAACAGCCACTGTATTTGCACCTATTTAGGAAGCGGTCTGTCATCTTTCCATCCTTGATGAATGTCTTGTGATGATGGGTAGTAGCCCTGAAAGTCAGTGACAACTATGGCATTTCTGATTTTTACTAGTTAACTAATGTTGTGATTCTTCTCAAAGAGTGGAACTGAGACACTGTGCCACCTTTCTCCCTTGGTAGCACACCAAGAGCAGTGTTTTCCAATCCAGTCCTTGGGGACCAACAGCTGGTTCACATTGTTGCTCCTTCCGGTTGACATTTTTGTCCCCTTCGAGCTCCCTGCCAGATATTTTTACTCCACCCCAGATTCGGTAGCAAAAATCTGGACTTTGGGTCCTGAGGACCTGATTGGGAAACATTGCTCAAAAATAATTGTTTATGCTTTACATTGGTATAATGAGCATATATATTGAACAGTACAGAGCAGGCACTCCGATCCTGGACCTCCGCTCCATGTTTTGCGGAAGTTTTATAGCAGTGACTCACATTTTTGGTCTATGTACCAGTTTAGGATCTTCACAGACCCACGTTTAGCTATGTTGATTATTCCAGTGATTAAGGTGTGCATTGCTGCATTTTGAAAGTGCTTCAAGTATGAGGAAATATGTACATGATCTGCTTTGACCACAGCTTGAACTCTGCTTCAGAACTTTAAGAAATCCACCTAACCCCTGCTAATCATTTAAACTGCCTCCCATCAGAGCTGATCTTGCACCATCAATTTCTCATTCACACTTACATGTGCAAGTTTAATCATGAAGGGGGTGGCCTGGGGGGTGGCTGAGCAGCTGCCCCTTTTGCCCAAACATATGAACGTAACCCCTCCACTGGTCAGCAAAATTCACCCTAAGCCACCCCCGCCATCCGTCTGACCACCTTCCCCTCAAATAGTCTTTGCACAGCACTGACAGAGTGTTTCCTAAGTTGAGTTATGAATGTTGGCCATTAAGGTCTCTCATACAAAGCAACTGCTTAATCACAAGTATAGGCAAATAATTTGTAGTGACACTGGTGATCTCTTAAATTACATCAGAGTGTCCTATAACACTATGACACATTTTTGGAGTGGTTGGTTAAACGTCTGGAGATATGCCATAATATCCTTGCTAGAATAAACAGCTTGATTGTACAATAGGCAGAATTAACTGATGATATATTATTTGACATCAGGCTGAGAGACAGTACTTGGTGAATATATCCTAATAGTTCACAGCAGTGCTTAATGAAATAGATTATTATAAATGCAAGAAAAGGAAACATCACTCAAAATAAATTTTATTGTACTTATGCACAACCACAGAAAACACTGTATTTTACTTGATTTTATTACTTTTATTTTTAATGTTATGTTTAATAATACTGTGTATACAAATTTTCTTTAAATTGTTTGGTGAATAGACTTTTGCTCAGCTTTTATTCATTTAATTAATGAAATTTTGTAGAACTGCAAGCCAAAGTCATGGAAGAATATCTGGTAATGCTATATATTAATCACACTTTCATTATGCATTCATAGGAGATTCGGTGTACCTTCATAATGCATTCATAGAACATTCATAAGCAGCATGTAAGTATACCTTAACATCCTAACATGCCTTAACAGCTTTAAAATAGATTAATAACAAACATTAAATGACTATACAATTATGATGTTTGCTATCAATGTATATTAAAGCTGTTAAAGTATACTTTACTTGCTGCTTATGAATGTTTTATGAATGCTTTATAAATGCATGATGATGGTGCACTAAATGTTCTACAAATGCATTATGAAGGTGCTGTTAATGTAAAGCATTACAGAATATTCATTCTGTCTCATCATCATGTCTCTGGGCTGGGTCAGGACAGACTTTGTCTACACCACAGGCAATGTTCTCCCTTCCTAGGCAACAGGGGAAGAATCTTCCGGTGTGACCCATCCATACCTTGACATTGAAATTCTACTCACCCATGGCACTTGCACACTCATCTGGCATGTATTCTCTCTTCTAGTTACTCATTGGCTTGTTCACATTTAGAAACACGTCAGTAATATTCATTGTGTTTAAATGGTAACTACTATACCCCATACAGAAACGTAATACAGTATATGTCAATATACAGTATGTACTTATTTCCATAGTACATACTTTCAATTATATTAGGGATACAAATATGCTTCTAATATGATGACACCATGTACTTTAACTTATATTAGGGATACATTACCTTTGCTATTGCTGTGACTTCATAATGTACACAGCGCAAGAAAAATCGCTAGTGAGTGAAAGATGGACAGAAAACACCCTACCCATACAAAAATGTAATATTGAGTTTGATTACCTGGTAAATTTTTACCAGAGCAGACCAAATGGTGAAATCACATTAATCTTGTAGAGTTTTTTCAGTTAAATGTGAATTGATGGTTAAAGGAATAATTTGGAGTAAAATGCTTCATAGGTCAGTTTTTGGCTGGTTGGGGGTTCATACGTTGAGTTGGTACCACTCAAAAATTGACCAATGAAGCATTTTTCTCCGGATTATTCCTTTAAAAAGAATGGTCTAACTCTGAATACCTTGAAATGAAATGTCAATAGGTTGAAGAAGAATAAGAGCATATGTCTGATATCTATAGTGGAGTCCTAAATAGTACATGTCTGAATGTGGAATGTCACTTAATAGTTAAGAATATTGTTTGTACTTGTCAAAATGTCATGTAATGAAATGCCAGTTAATAATAATTATTAGAAATATTGTATGTGCTTGTCTGAATAATTTAAAAACATGATACTTAATGTCTGAACACCTCAAATACCAATATTTTAAAAGTACTGTCTTTACATCTGAATGCCTTGTAATTAAATGCCTATAGTTGGATATTGTATGTCTGTATTGTGTGAATACAAAATATAGTATTTTTAATACAATAATGCAGTGTTTTCCTTGTCAGTTTTGACAAATACATCCACAAAGTACCATAACCATATGCCACAGCTTTAAAAAATGAATCAGTATCACATGCATGTATGTTTACATGCATGTATTAAATAAGTGGAAAACAAATATTTATGTTACATATTTATACTTAAAGTTCTCCATATATGCGATAAACAAATATGTATGTCACATATTTATACTTAAAATTGTCCATATATGTGATAAACCAATACTGTACTGTAATATGTGCAGATATATGGCATCATATATGGATAACCTCAAATATTTTCTTCACGTTTGGTCCGATTTAATATATTCTCAGATGAGACAAATATATGTATAGATATATGTCATACTATTTAAAATATAAGTACATATATGGCCATATATTACATTTTTGTATGGTGTGTGCTGGCTGTGTTTAACATTTGCAGCCTGTGTTTACCATTTTGCATCCCTAGTGCATCACAGTGCAAAATATGTCTTAGCGAATAACAATGTGTTCACAGTTCTACAAGAAGAGTGAGCAATTTGATAAATGGGTTCAGGTCACTCAGTATTTCATTCAGGGAATGAGGTTTAGTGTTTAGCAATTTGGAAATATTTAAAACTGTCATTCCATATGGAAACTACTACAGGCTCTCAGGCACAATGCTGATGTAGAACAATTTCAGTTGACCCTTTTACTGTAGTACAGTAATATGCATTTGATTTAAATTTTGCATTTGTCCATGGGCCTGTATTAGTTCCAACAGTGCTACAGTGTAACTACTGCAGACATACATGTACCATACATTATGCTACTGTGCATACCATATGTGAACCATATTACTGTTTTGAGTGAACATTACTTAAACAATATTATTTAATATTTTTCCAGTGATTGTTTCCAGTAGTCAGCTACTTACATAAAAATGTCAAAGACCCAAATGAATTTTTTACCTGGCATTCCATGAACAGTGTTTTTCATTTTTTGTAATGTGTAATGACTGCTCTTTATGGACAGGCAGGCTTTGTGTTTGGTACTGTTTGTTTTTGAGTAAAGATAACACAGTTTTTAGTTGATTGATTTTGCAAGATGAATCAAAGAATGCGTGAATGCAATCTAAAAATTGGGATTTGTGTTTAGGGTATTGAGAAAATAATGGAAAGTTTTAGGCAATGTGTCTTACCACTTCAGAAAAACTGTAAAACAAATTGGAGGAACTGAATTCCGATGTTCATTCAGGACGCGCACCACAATTTTGTCCGAAGATAACCAGCAGCATACTCAGTGTGTTATCGTTCATAAACACATCATACATGTATTTGCATCTATCATTATTCAAAGGGTTCTTTTACGTGATAAAAACAAATAAAAAAAATAACGTAATCAATGGAGTGAAATAAAAAGAAATGGTCAAATCTGCAAATCCTTCTCAAAATCAATGTTATCAATCAAGCAATTAATTAATTAAATTTTTTTTTTTTTAATGTGTCCTGTCCGGCAGCTTTCGCAAGCAAAATAATGGTCTGAATGCACTGCTGTGTCAGACATATTTGCTTTACCATGAGGGGCTCTATAAACTCTGTATAGGCCCTTCATGTTGGTCAATTTCTTTTTATTCGTATATTTATTGTATTTTATTTAATACATGTAAAATATTCCAGTTGCCGTGCTGCCCGGAAGGGAGTGATAGATTAAATGTTATCAATTTAGAATAATGGGTTTTATCAAGTGGTGTCAATCGATCCAGTTAATCATAATAATAGACTATGATTAATCATGATGAATCACGAGTATAAAATGGCAGCAGGCTATTTGCTTGTCCTTTTTGGAAATGAAACAATACATTTGGTCCTGGAACAAAGAAATGCATGACAAATTGATGAGGAATCACGCGTTTTAACATCTTGGTTTTGATAGTTCACTTGCAAGGTTCAAAAAATGTAAGTTGCTAATGGAATTAGCAACTCTGCTTATATTTTTTTTAATTTTGTCATGTGACTTTGTTGCTTCCATTTTTGAATGACCAGAGAACACCAATGTTGTACCATTTATGTGAATTAGTGTTTTAATTCTAAAGTTAATATTTTACACAAAATATTTTATTTTCAATAAATACAATCTATACTATTTTAAGACATGTAATTTGAGAAATGCAAGTTAAATCAAATGATCTTGTACTTGCAAAAAAAGTCTCATAAACGTATTGCAAAACACTAGAACAACCTAGTTACCAACAGTTTGCATATATTTTTTCTTTTTAAAGTCATGTTATTACAGTATTGGAAAACAAGTGACATTTTGTGATTTACAAACTTACTGCTTATCTGAATTTGCAGTTTTCCATGAATTGAAGAGATGCATGTTTATCAATTCCTCAGTGAAACTTCTCAGCCAGTATAATTCAGACACATGCTATTTATGCGAGTCAAATTGTTGGGTTATTGTATCATTATTATAGGAATAACAGTATTTGTAAATAGGTGGGCGATCAGGACTGCTTCCAGACTCATCAAGTCAGTGACTAATTTTTAAAATTCTCCTTACAAAAAAGATATTTAGTTTCTACCTATATACATTTAACTGTTCAAGGTTTCTGGGGTCTTTTTTGTGTCTATGATAAAATCTCATAATTTTTTTTTAGATGGTTTGGTGAGATTTCCGTTTCATCCTGTGGGCAGGACCACCGATGTCAGTGGGTTAATTTGCTTTAAAAACAAAATAGCAGGTTAAGGTTGCCAGATTAATCACAAGCGTCAAGGCGTTGAAGTGACCAGCGCTAGTTTTATCATTATACCTTTTAACATCAACAACCACAATTTGCTCCCAAATATCAATTGAAAATATCAAAAAACACCGTAACAGACAACCCTTTTACTTAATTTGCTAAGTAAATCTAATTAAGCTATCTTGCACAAGATATATCCAGGAGCCTGTATCGCAAAGCTGGATTTTTGAGTTAGCCAGATAACTGGTCTCATTTGAAGTGGACTGGGGTAAATGTAAGCAAATAAAATAGTCAAATTAAACTGGGGTACTTTAAATCTGACAAGTTATCTAGCTAACCAACAAATCTTGCCAGAGGAAAGGCAGATTCTTTCGAAACACTAACCAATGTGTTTATTTCTCTCCTGTTTTGGCTGTTGTATTGACATTAAATAAAATGTCACACAATCATATTAAAATGCAGGACAAAAACTGAGAGCAACCGTTCATTTTTTTCCAGTGATGGGGAAAAAAAACTAATTCACATACACAGTGATATATTCTACAGCTTTAAATAAATTATCAAAAGAATTTCAAATTATTACGCAGAATTGTTGGTCCTATTTCAAAATAATGAAAACAAACAAAATATTTGTTTTGGTCTCTAGAAAACCTATTGCTTACAGGCAAGGCAGTTAAGTCTCGCTGGTCACCAGAAGCTTTTTCACATGCCTTGTTTTCTTAGGCACACAGGTTGGTTGTTGATATATCAACTGATTTTAATTATAATAAATTTTCATTGATACTCAGACAAGCAGATGGTTCATTAGGCCATAATGTAAAAAATATGTAAGGCCTCTACCAGGCGGTTGAAATGTTTGCTGCAAAACTAACTGTGGTGGATCCATATTCCTAATTTCCTCATGTGTGCCTGAAAATAGCAATGAAGTTTCCCCTTATGCCCGTCAGTCAGTGCAGAATCTCCTGTTCCTCCTCTTCAGCATCTTCATTGTCATCCTCTTCGCCTTGGTGCAATAGTGGAAGTTCCATGTCTGGACACTCTTTATTGGGCAACTGCCTGAGGGTGGTGCTCTTACCTGGTGTCCACAAAAGATATGCTTCTTTAGGTGACCAAGATTAAATACTACTGGTACAACTTTATAAGACTTATACCAAATGCATAGAGTAAGAGCTGAAAGCAGCCTGATGCTACAGGGGTACCCACCTTGTTAAAAAGAATGGAATAATTTGACTGTGGCAATAATACCACCGAAAAGGGGCTGCACAATGTCACATCATGGGATAATCCCAATTGTATGGCGCATGCACATTAATCTCCGGGGGCTTCAGATGACATGCAGAAACATTAATCCACATGCTTGCTTCTCAGTACTATATGGAAGTTTACTTACGCCCACAGTTTGGTAAGCAGATTAGTAGTATGCCTGAAATATTAATGAGAGGCATATTGTGACACCCAAAAGTTAGTAATCTGTATAAATTCAGCACATCCTAGTGTTTATTAGATTTGCCACATACTACTGTTTTGTTATGTCATGGAAGCAGTAAGAAGTGAAGTAGTGGACAAGAAAGGCAAAGTTCAACAGATACAACATCTTTTAAAAGAAGAGACACTGTGGATAAACAAAGTAAAAAGATGTCAGTGGTGTGGCGGTACTTTTTGCAGTTTAAAGTCCAAAAAGTTTATTAAAGATAAGGATACATGGAATTTATACAGATTACTAAGTTTTTTTTGGGGGGGGGGGGGGGGGTCACGATATGCCTCTTGTTAATATTTTAGGAGTACTACTATATTGCTTACCAAATTGTGGGTGTAAGTAAACACCCACATCGTACCAGAAAGCTGGGGTTAAGACAAATCTAAAGCCCTGGTGATTATTGCAAATGCGCCATATAATCGTGATGCAATATTGTGCAGCCCTACCCAAATGTTTTTAAATTGTTTCTCAATTTTTGATTTTTGCAACCTTTCTCCTACACACAGCAAACATGCATGCAGAGGATATAAGAATGCAAATCCTACCTTTGGAGAAGTAGGTCTTCAAAGCTACATGCAGTGAGATCCCAGACAGGCAGATGACAAAGCCTAGCCAGTTCAGAGCACTCATCTTGTCCCCCATAAACTCTGCTGCCAGCAGCAGAGTGCACACCTCCTATGTAGGAGAATTGGAGGGGAGGGAGAGAGAGAGAGAGCGCACAATGGGTGAAAGGAGGGACTTGCATATATTTTAACATGCAGAGTCAAAAAGACTAATGGCAAAAGACAAGAGAGATAAAATATAAAATCCTACCTTAAATATGCCTGCAATGGACAGTGTAAGGCTGGAAGTACGGGAGACCAGCAGGAACTCAGAGAAGCCAAGGCCGAAGGCAAGAATGCCCCCCACCGATAACGTGAACAGGGAGTATGCGAGTGCAGACACCTCACTCACCCGGAACAGCTTCGATGTGGTGCTAAGGTTCAGACCTGCCAGAAAACACACAAATAGACACAGTCCCCAGAGGCACATCAGGAGCCTGGAGCCCTCATACTAATAGGGATGCAACGTCCTTACCTTCATTGTAGATGAACAGGGGGAAAAGACCCATGAACATGAGTGGCTGAAGGTGATACATGGTGTCCACTGGATTCTGAAGACCTGGAGGGCCAGAATCACTATAACATTAACTCCCTAAAGCCTTCTGTTGATTTCCCTTGAATGAACTGAATGAAACCAGGAAAACCCTAATTCCACTTCAGTGAAAGCCCATATCCTACAATACATGCTGTTTCTTATGTCTAACATAATGAGGTCCATTCTACACTGTATAATGGAAGAAACTACTGATAGTTACTGTGATTGTCTGCCTCAGTAGTGACACATAGCTCAGCCTTGGAAAAGTGTTAAGTATGATTAATGAGGAATAAACGGGGAGTTTGAGTACGTACTTATGAAGTATTGTGAAGAGTTAATTTCCATTAATGTGAAATGTCTTCAAATGACACCAAACTAAATGAGACTCACAGTGAACACCAAATGCAAGGAACTACCTTGTTGCCACTCGCTCCCCATTAGAGACCAGGGGACTCACCCAGTTCAGCTTTCTGTATGAGAACCTGTGTGAGGGTCCAGCGTATGCCTCCAATGAAGGAGGCCAGAAGCACCATGATGAAGCCCTCAAGGTTGAACTGGGTAGACTTGAAGGTGAACATGAACAGGCCACTTGAAATTAGCAGAACCACCACAATCAGGAATGGGTTCTGAAGAGGCAGAAGGAATGCCGATCAGAGCCAAAGGGCTATGCATCCGTGTCTGCAGTTTCAGAATAAGTGAGACTAAAAATCAAAACATCCATGTGTACACATGAATCTGTAATACAGTACAACCACCAACTTACGGGTTCCTCCAACTTGAAGATCAAAGAGAACAACAAGATGAATAGAACAGCTGAAGACTTGGTCATAGTGTATCTGTAAGGCATCCAAACAAATAATCACTGCATGACTATGATGACTTACAAACATGAAAGAGCTTTGACACATGGTCTTCCATTTAAAATGTATATGGAGGAAATACGACAAATCTCTAAACAATAAAAAGGATCTTTCCGAAAACGTTCCTTTCTCAAAACACACAAACTTAGGCTTTTATTTTTAAAAGGACACTGATACTTTCAAGCAGAAGAGCAGGTGTGAATATAGAGACCTGCAGCGGCGTTCTTACAGGCTGATGGTGATGAACAAGAAGCTCCAGTTAGACAGGCCTATATCCAAGGCTGTAGCCAGGGCTGGTGAGGAAAGAGAAAGGGACAGGGAGCTCCATTAAATGTCCATGTTGCCAGATTGTGTCAGAATAAGTCGCATATACATCACTGATTAAGTGGCGAATTGCATTAAATTCACCACATAGGCTTATTCTACAAGTTCTTTTCAACACCATAGCATAATATGATAAAGCTTTTCTTTTTAAATTATTCTGGCACATACACCGATCAGCCATAACATTAAAACTACCAGCCTTCTATTGTTTTGGTCCCTCTTGTGCTAAAAACAGCTCTGACATTTTCAGTAAAGTGTGATTTAAACAATGGACACAGCTTGATTTTCAAATTATGCACTTCTATACATCTTCATTAATACAGACGCTCCTCTACTTACGAACCTTCAACTTACGAATGAAGAGGTCTGCAAGTCCAAATAGCGTTCGTTAGGCTCCCGTTTCCTATCCGCAACATCAAAGTTTGTTCTGCGCACCAATTCCGCTTAGTACGAATCCTGGCCGCTACTTCTGCCACGCAGCAGCATAGCGTGCGTACTCCCAGCATCCCAGTTCTTTCTACTTGCATATTCGTAAGACGTGCTCTCGAGATCAAAGTTTACTTCGTTTTTATTGTGAAATATTCTGTGCATACATTATCCATTTTTGTTTTATGTATCATTAGTAATGTGTTTTAGTATAAGAAAACATGTATTGACTTTATACCATGCCCCAGTCGTCTGAGCTTCCTGTGTGCCACGCCCCCTCATTTACCTTGTGTGGAATCCCCGTGTTACCAGCTGTTACAAGTCATGTTGATTGTTGCTACGCATTTAAGTCCGCGTTACAGTATGTTTCCCCAGTCTGGTCTTTAACATCTAGACGTTGTTTTCATGTTCCTGAGTGTGTTTCCCTAAAATAAGCCCTGTGTTCACCCGATTTCGCTGGCTCCTGTGCTGCTTCCCCGCGCTGAATGCATGACAGAATGACCGGACTCGAGAAACATACTCTAACACGGACTTAAATACACAAGACTAATTAACATGACTACAAAACAGCTGACACAGGGATTCCACACGAGATAGCGAGGGGGACGTGGCACACAGGAGGATCGGCACGAGCAGGGCATGACACATACTTACTGATGCATATAGATTTGAGTACCTTTAAAATGATGTTGAATAACGACATACGAGCATTTCAAGTTACGAACGGCTATTCGGAACATATCTCGTTAGTAAGTAGAGGAGCATCTGTACTTGTAATTACACTGTGTCCATACGCCAGCAGCTATTGAAAATGAATTACACACGCCAACATTCAAATATTAATTCAAATTTGTCTGTAAAGTAAATCTAGAAAACCAAGGGCTGTGCAAGAGTTGCTACCAACTCAAAATGCTAAACCAATATCTTGTTACAGCAGAGATCATCTTTTTAGCGAACAGCGAAAGCAAAGATGATTGGTAGGCCTGTGAACATCAAAGGTCTGTGATTAAAAAGTGTTTGGCTTGCTTTTGCTGAAAGATATTACAGCCTGAATATTGAATATACAGCTAACTTTACCTTAGTCCCAGGATTCTCATAGAAAGCCATACTGAGAGTTTGGGAAAGCTCCTTTGTTACGTCAGGTAAAATACCAACTTATTCTCTTTGATTGGTCCAAGCACTGTTTGAGAGCCATGATCCTGAAATATATCCTGCTGTGTATGGCGTTATATTAGTGCCACATTCCTGAGCACGCAGAAGGACATTCGCGAGCTACGTTTTCACTCTGTGCGCACTCAACTCGGCCACCGCGCTCTCGCTCACAGCTACTCTCTTACTCAGCATGGCGTGCGTGCTCAACTCAGCGCGTGCTCAACTCAGCCACTGTGGTCTCACTCACAGTGTCTCTCACTCAGCATGGTGCACGCACTCAACTCGATCACCGTGCTCTCGCTCACAGTGTGTCTCACGCTCTCACACATTTCGGCTCTGTGCTCGCTCAACTGTTTTTGCACGCTTGCTCAAGTTGGTTTTCACTCCATCAAAGATCACAACATTGTACCTGTTCAAGATGGGGGGAAACGATTTCACTTATGTTGTTCTTCTGTGATAAGAATGAGAACTTACACACTTGTAATTTACTTACATAAAATAAGAAGTCTATTTCAAAGGGGATGCTGAATATTACGCCTACATCAGAATGTGTGAAACTAAATATGGTTAATGCAACTCAATATTTCAGTTTTTTGAACATGGCTATAAAGTTTTTCTTCAGCTTTCTGAAGGTTATTCTAATTTGACTTATGAAAAATATGACATTATGTATATATTGTCATAAAGTGTTATTGCAATCAGTATTACACATTGTCCATTAATATATTTACTGTACATGTAGTGTAAATGAATGCTCCTGGATTATTACCATTGACAATATTCCTGCCATTGTTTTACACATCCTGTAATCTATTTATTCGTAATATTCCTCCAATCAGTAACTCCAACAAAAATATGAAGTCATATAAAATAATTTGTCTGAGGGCTTTATTTAAATTGGAAGCACTTTAATAAATTATAAATTGACATAATATAAAGTTGATTAAAGTCCTTTCAAAGTATGACATACCCCTTACCATCTAACTTGTGTTAGATAAAACTATAAGCATGCTAATTTACCTTATTAATTTGTAGTTTGTGTCAATGTGAACCAGGGAGAGAGGGCCTTCAACAGAATAGCTTCTTCACACAACACAACCTAATTCTGCGATCCGTGACAAGATGCCAGCAGCATCAACTTGATGCATCAAAGCCATCATTCTCCACCACTGAACATGGATGCCCATTTAAACCAAATGTCCTTGAACCATTCGATAACCAGCATTTGGCATCTCATTTTTGATGGCTGATATGATGTTGCCAAGCTCTTGGTCAGTTATTGTGCTGTACGATCCTCACACAGACAAGTAAAATTCTTGCATCCTACAGAAAATTGTCCTTCTTGAAACACCAAGGCATTTAGCAATGCATACAACTGGCAGATGTGAGTCCAACAAATTTTTCAGTTTTTCCCTCTATATTACAATTTTGGGGTGGCCAGGACCTGGACCAACTTCTGTTTCCAGTTCCACTGTGGGTATAGAGCTGTCATTAATTTCACACTGCACTTGATGATGGAGATTTTGGTGCTTCTGTAAACTCTGATACACCGACTATCTGCTCAGAGAACGATTCAAACAGTATAAGCTCATGGCAAGTCTGGAACACTAAATAATCCAAATTTAGTGGTTGCTGGTGGTTTAGAGCAGATTGTAGTTTGTTTAGAAGTCACTCTATAAATTGTTGTCTCAGTATGTCCTAGTGGAAGACAGAGCTTGAATTAAAAAAGAAGAGGGAAGAATAGTTACACACTGTGGCTGCTAGTCACAGAATAAACTATATAACTGAGATAATAGGGTGCTTGTAATTAATTTACACCTTATAGCATCCTAGCCATTGTCAATAGTCTAATGCATTAGCTAATTTGGCAAGCTAACAATAATAATAATGATGATTATATTGGTAAAACACAATAAAATTAATAAAATCTGAAAAAAATCAAACTAAAGCACAACAAACTACTTACATGTGGCTGTGGTGCACAATTTTTGTGTTGCTGTTCAAGTTCCGAGGACATTGTGAAATGCTTAGCTACCCAAAGATAATTGAATAAAGATGAGTCAAACTTGTTAAATATAAACCAATGGTTCGAGGACTGTGGAAATATCGTAAAATGATAATTGTTCAACAATATACTAAACGAAATAGGCAGTTCTGTAATTGAATTCAATGATAAAAATATTAACAGAAAAACTAGATTTACTTTTATCTATTTTATGTCGGATGACAGACAGTTTCAGGAATGTTGATTGGACATGAAACATAAGAACATAAGAAATTTACAAACGAGAGGAGGCCATTCGGCCCATCAAGCTCGTTTGGGGAGAACTTAACTAATAGCTCAGAGTTGTTAAAATCTTATCTAGCTCTGATTTAAAGGAACCCATGGTTTTAGCTTCCACTACACTAGCAGGAAGACTATTCCATACTCTAACTACATGCTGTGTAAAGAAGTGCTTCCTCAAATTTGTTTTAAAATGTTCTCCCGCTAATTTCCATTTATGGCCACGAGTTCTAGTATTTAGACTAATATTGAAATAGTCATTTGGCTGAACAGCATCCAGACCCGTTAGAATCTTATAGACCTGAATCATATCCCCCCTTAGTCTCCTTTGCTCAAGGCTAAACAGATTCAGTTCCGCTAACCTCTCCTCATAAGACATTCCTCTAAGACCAGGAATCATTCTCGTAGCTCTTCGTTGCACCTTTTCTAAGGCAGCAATGTCCTTCTTGAGGTATGGTGACCAAACCTGCACACAGTATTCTAGGTGGGGTCTTACCAAGGAATTATATAAGTGTAACATCACCTCCCTTGACTTAAACTCCACACACCTAGAGATATAACCCAACATTTTGTTCACCTTTTTATTGCTTCCCCACACTGGCGAGAGTGGGACATGGAAGCATCAACATACATACCGAGATCTTTCTCGTAATCAGCTACCTTTATTTCAGTGGAACCCATAAAATATCTGTACTTTATATTTCTGCTCCCTGCATGGATTACCTTGCATTTATCTGTGTTAAATTTCATCTGCCAAGTATCAGCCCATTCGCTAATTAAATCCAGATCCTGTTGAAGCCTCTCTGCTGCTAGATCAGTATCTGCTACACCGCCCACCTTGGTGTCGTCTGCAAATTTAACCAGTTTACTGTATGTATTTGTGTCAATATCATTAATGTAAATTAGGAACAATAGTGGTCCTAAAATTGAACCCTGCGGTACCCCACTATGAACGGAGGCCCACTGTGACATTGTGCCTCTAATAACTACTCGCTGCTTCCTGTCAGTTAGCCAGTTTTTGATCCAAGCTGCCACAGTTCCTAAAATCCCTGCAGCTTTAAGCTTTAGCAAGAGCCGTTTGTGGGGGACATCATCAAAGGCCTTCTGGAAATCTAAGTAAATCACATCATAGGCCTTGTTGTGATCAATTTCACTTGTAGCTTCCTCAAAGAACTCAAGTAGATTCGTTAAGCAGCCAATCAGAATTACTTCATCCAAGTCTGCAATTGGCTGGTTTTGTGGCACTTTTGTAACGTTGTGCCCAACTTGAGCAAGCATACAAAAAGAGTTGAACGAGCACTGTGCCGAGATGTGTGAGAGTGAGAGACACACTGTGAGCGAGAGTGCGGTGGCCGAGTTGAGCACTCACAGAGTGAAAACGTTGTTCGCGAATGTCCCTCTGCATGCTCAGGAATGTGGCATTAATAACACCATAGCTGTGCAGCAGGTTTGGCGTGTAGCATGAGTTACTGTGGTAATGTGTCCCGCTAAGAAGACAACCAGCATCATGATATTGAAAAGCTAGAGCTACCACTACCTAGCCACAAAGTTTTCCAGCTAGGCAAGGAATCCAGCTTTGTGATACAGGCACCAGCTGTCACACTGGAAGTTTCAGCAGAAAATAAACAAAGATGGCCCCTCCCTCTTTACCACAGAGAACAAGGTGAATAGTGTTGAACTTTCACCATTTTTAAAAAACATATATAATAGACGTTTTTAGTACCACTTAAGGTATAATTTATGCAGATTCTTCAATAGGCTTATGTTTAATCCAAATGACAACTGTCCAGAAAATGCATACAGCAGTAACACGACTGACTTTGGTAGATTAATGAAAAGGAAAATTAACCTGGCAGACATACACACCCATTGGTGCCACTTTGGTGATGTAGATTTTCCAGCTCATTACAACTCTGGGTTTGCCAGTCCAGCAATGCATAGCTGAACGTACCAGTGCAGAGAAGCAGAATATCATGAACAGGTGCACCAGGGTCATGAAGAGAGGGAAATGGAAGCCCTGGGGGAGGAAGGATTAGTCAGGAAACAAGCACACAAGCACACAAGAATAAGTTCCCAGCTCCCATCATCTCCAATTTTTTTTCACAGAATTTCAGGAATCTTTGTTTGAATGCTGAGGGTTGGCAGCCTTGACTTAGACATAAGTAGAAGACCAGTGGTATGACTGGATGATACATCACTTAAAATGCTGATGTTCTGCATATATAAAGAACGTTGTGTACATTAAAAAGCACCTAGGATTTCTGAGTCAATGACAGAGAATAGTGGGTGGCTCACAGAAGGTACACCATTCCTGCCTCACCTTCATCAGCCATTTGTTGTAAAAGGTGATGCCAATGGAGAAGACATAGTAAAAGAGGACAAGGCCCACAGTGCAGAGTGCCCGGCACAAAAACTGCACGGGGCACACCATGGCAGCATGTGGGCGTGGGCCCGCTTGCGGACCGAGCAGGGTCTACTGACGGGGCAGCATCGCGAGGGGAAGCCTGAGCCTACCCTGGGGCTAAAAGACAAAAATAAATATGCATCTATAAGCATAAATAAACATTTATATGCATTTTAAAATATTTATCAGATAAAGGGGCAAGGAAATAGCAGCTGTGAAGCAGCGGCAGCACATTGCATTCTTTATCAGCTCATAATAAGCACATGACATGATAACGGCACACTGTTACTTTCCACTTGGAACAGATAACCAGCTCCATCACCGGATCTAGCTTCAAGAGGAAAATGAATTCACGTCTTTACCAACTGCCCCTATTATTACTTGTTATGTTGGGTTGTGGTGACATAAACACACATTAGCGAATCAGCTAGCTGGTGAAAAAAAGTAAGTTAACGAATGGCAATAAAAGAAAATAAACACAAATATCGGCTACCAACTCTTTAACGCAAGTAAATGGTCGCAGCTGTATGGAAGCGAACTTGCACCACGGGTTATTTAAGAAAGCAGACCCGGTTAGTTTTATTAGTTACATTTATTTGGTCCTGTAGCACACGGCGGTCGTAATTTCGTCAACAAAGCTACCAGACGCTTCCGATCAGATTAATATTGAATAATCGTATTCACCCAACGTGCTTTAAAAATATGTATTATAAACAAATCTTCAAAAACGGAGAAATTACCGCTAACGAAGAACCGCGGCGTTGTCCGAGCCAAAAGTAAACAACTTCCGCTGACGTGAAAAAAGCAGGCGCAAGGCACCCCGGAATGGGCGGAGCACGGGAGCCAGCTGTACGATCGAAGTGCGTGGACAGTGCCCTAAGTACGGAAGTCTGTAGAGGACATGCATAAACTTTTTTTTTCTTTTCGTTATCTCGAAATCACGACTTATTTTTCTCGTGATCTCGACATAACCAAAGTCGTTTTCTCGAGATCACAGCTTATTTTTTTTCTTGTGATGTCGACATAACCCATGTCACTTTCCCATGATCTCGAGGTTTAGTATTATCCTCATGGACGAATGCATCAGATTTTACTTTGATCGTGGACTGTCCCAATCATAATCAGAATCATAATCAGAAGACTTTATTAATCCCGGAGGAAATTGCTCACATTGCGACTGTCACAAATAAACACGAAGACAAGAACAAAACAAGTATAAAAATGGGAATGAAGTGTAAAACAAATTACGGCACTGTTAAACATTCTAATAAATAAAATAAAATAGAAAATCTCTGTACAGGAATCTAAAGTACCTTTGTCCGAAAGTTACAGGAAAAGTAAAAGTGTATATTGCACAGTAAAGTAAAAGTATACTGCACCAATATCATAAGTGCTTATATTGCACTTGTTTGTAAAACCAAGCTAGACTTTAAACTGTGGGGAAAAAGTCGAGATATATTGCACCGAATCATGGATACGAGGAAATAACACTGTCTGTCGGTGCTAGAAAATTGTCATATTAGTGTTCGTCATTTGAGAAGGAGGATCAGATATATGCAGCTACTGTATATCGTCGGAGAAATTATAGTGAGCCTGAACGAGTAGTCAGTTTCATTACCAACCAACTGGAGAGTCCGGGACGTCTCCATGGTTACCGGGTGATGTTTGAAAGATGTCGGCTGAAAAATATAAGTCGTGATCTCGAGGACATGCATAAAAAAAGTTTATGCATGTCCTCTAAAGACTTCCGTACTAATGCGTGCCGGCTGTCAGTGCCCTATGCGTGCTTGTTGCTGCCCGATCTGCGGTCTTGGCCCGATCTGCGAACGCATGCGCACACTGGTTTTCCGTGTACGTCACTATTTCATCTGTATACTGACCATGTATACTGACTGCACCGTTGCAATGATGTATTTTCTTTAAATTAAGGTAAAAGAAAAAGGAGGTGTGACATTATGTGATGAAAGACACTGTTTCGCTTGTCTATTTGAGATTGTCATTGTCATTGTTCTAAATGACATCCGCGAACGCTGCGCAATGCACCGACTTCCGTAAACGCCTGCCCGATTATGTTTTTACATTACAAAACAACGTTACATACTTGACAGATCATCATACAGTAATTGGTAATCATTGCTTTTCTCACAACTAAGACAAGCGCAGACAATAATGCATTTGTTGAAAAATGTAATGCAGTTGAATGTCTTATTCTAAGCGAGTGTACGGTACAATTTCTGCTCAGAAAATGTTCAAATGGTCGCATACATATTGAATATCACTAATAATAGTTAGTTGTTGGAATATACATAAGTAAATGAATCAGATAAATATTCACCTAAAATAAGTTCAACTGCAATATTCCCAATAAACAGACTGAAAAGTGGATGTTGATCCTTTTGTGGACTGTCTTAAATATTTAAATACTGTCCATAATGTTTTGTATGCTGTGTATATTTAATTAACAATACATTTCCCATATATTTTGTCTTACACCGAGTGTCCATGCTTAAAAGACTCACTCTGTCAGGACTGCTTCTTAGAATCTTGGTTCCTGTCATGTTTTTTTTGCTATATTTAAGCTGCGGGGAACAGTGGCCCTCTCTAAATGTGCTTATTATGTTTTGAGAAGTTATCAAGATCTTCATAGTGTAAAACAAAACTATCACTGTGTCAACCTGAAATGGTGCATTATATATAGCTCGAGCAGATGTACAGTATATAAGGAATGAAACAATAAGAGAAGAAATACTGGAAATGCAAATCTAAGCAATACAAAAACATAAAATATTAGGTCAGTGTGCAGATAGCATTAGCAGTGGTAAGTTCAACATCAATTTATCTTCAGGTTGTGTGCAACTCATTTATTGTGGAAAGTGAAGAATAAGTGAACAGCAAAAACACATGAGGGTAGTCAGTACTTGTTTTATATATAAATTATTTATTGCAAATAGTGTAAAGTAAAAATTCTCTTTTGAGAAAATAAAAAACACTTAGAAAAGTGAAAAGCAATAACAAAAATGTACAGTCCTACAGCAGACCGTCCTTATTCATTTGACAGGTTATTCTCGGGTCAAAGTCTTCAATCTCACTAGAACAGACAAAAAAGTACACAGTTAACAATGTTACATGCACCATTTAACCTTGCAGGTGTTTTCCTGCAACTCTTACCTTCTGCTGTGCTGAAGACCAGCAAGGGACAAGTTCTCTGCTTCCTGTGTGGACACACCTGTCAGCTGAGCTAGAGCACAGATGATGGACTAAACAAAACAAACAAAAGTACATTATGAAACACTGTTGTACTAAAATCATGTAAGGTTGTCATTGTATTTCAATAAAAGAACTAATAGGCCATTAAAAGCAAATATAGTACAAGATACATTTACAGTATATGGGAAACTTTCCAATCTGTAGGGCAAATCATGAATGAGAAAGACATGAGGAAATATAATACTCGTCAAAATAAGGCATTTGTTATGTGTGTCGGTGTTTCCACTGGAGTTGTTTCTGCCTGTGGCTATCATGTGTCATAAATATTGTGACGCCGGACTTGCGAGGCAAGTGGGGAAGCAGGCGAGCAAAGCCGTGAATACGAAGAAACGCTGTTTATTCTCAGCAAACATGAAAAAACACGACGCAACAACAATGACGGATCTGGGAAACAAAGGCAGACGTGGACTAATATACAAAAGACAGGCTGACTTAAACAAGCAACAGGTGAGTACAATCAGGAATTAACATTAGGTAACGAGGGGGGCGTGGCACAAACGAGGATTGGAGGAGCCGGGCGTCACAAATATCATCATTGACATAAAAAAGAATTTTGGTGAAACGGCATTAAATTAATTTTACAACATCTGTTGATTTAGAAGCTTTAAATTAATTTTTTTTGACATAGATACCATAGGGATAGAATATCCTACATCTGTATTTATAGTAAATTGATATGCATCCTTTATTCATGTTAAGCTCAGATACTTTAATAGAAAAAAAAAACAACGCACATAACAGGTTAGATAGATAGATAGATAGATAGATAGATAGATAGATAGATAGATAGATAGAGTGCTTGAAGTGGGAAAAAATAAGTGCAGGAACTCTAATTTTCCGACATTTGACATTTGTGCGGTGAAAAAAAAATCAAGTGTTTAGGATGTGTTGGTTCAAAAACTATTTTAATTTAATCATTCTTCCAAGCAATAACCTATACACTGTAAAAAATAAACCGTAAATTTTACGGTAAAAAACTGGCAGCTGTGGTTGCCAGAACTTTACCGTCAAAAATACGGTAGCAACGTTATTGGTTTTACAGGACTGCACCCACTGTACTGTATATTTTACGGATTTTATTTGTTTTTTTTATGGTTTATAACTGTCTAATTAACATATTTATGTTGCTATAAAAACAGTTTATACCTGTCAAATTCCAGGGTTTACATTGTAATATTCTGCCTTTTATGTCTCTCTCAACTTGCTCTTTGTAAGTAA